TATAGTGTAGTATCACAAGTATCAAAATGTTTTGTTAGTGATTTTATATCGGACTGTATTGATGACGAAACATTTAAAAAATACTGTGATTACTTGACTTTCAACGAATGCATATTTTTTTATCAAAATTATTATTGTTATTTAGCTATTATAAGATTATATTTTATTCAACTATTGCATTAGGAAACCTTAACTCTCGGCATATTCTTGAATACATATACATATTTTATTAGTATTCTGAGATTATATTAATTTTTATTCGATTAATTTAATATGCTATAATAGTTTATTGCCGATTGTTTTATTTTATTATTTTTTCACAGAATTGTAGGTAATAATGTTAATAAAAAAACTACTTGACGAAAAGGTAACGGCAAGTTTCGGCCGAAAAGGSGGCCGCCCATATTATGATATTAGATTTTAATTTTAGAGTGAATTGACATTTTGTTAAACAAGTTAAGATAATTATYTGGGTCTTGTTATGAAGATGCCAAATAATTATAATTTTATCTAAGAAAAATTTAAATATTGCAAAAAAAAACCCACTTGTAAACTCAGTTAACATTTYGACCTATTTTTATAAATTATAACAGTCCGTTAAATCTAATTTTAAAGATTCATAAGTCGCAAAAAATTTGGTTCTGCTTGATTTAATTTAACTATATGTCGGCATGTCGCCCGTAGATCAAAGAAAGATAGGAAACAAAATATAGCGCTTTGATATTCTTTAATATAATGTTATCCATAACTTTTTTTTATTTTTTTATTTTAATTTTAAATAGTTCTCTTCCTATGTTCTTTTATTTTTCTATGTTTTTCGTTATCATTATTCCGTTCTTAACAATAATTATAGTATCAATTTATTTGTTCGTATTCGGGTGAGTAGGGTGGACTGGTGATGGTATTCTTACACCCTCACTAGTGACAGGCCTTAATAATACTACCGATATATCAATTAGATGTGGCTTGAAAATCTTGTAAAATGGAAAAAATTACATAAATCTGTTTAGGCATTTAAATTGTTCATTTGATGCTGTATAAATACCATTAGCAGTTAATGTTATACCAGTACTTAGTACCGATAAATACCGGTAACCATTATCTCTCCCTAATTACATACTAACGAGTATAATATATCCGACAGTATGGGGTGCAAGAAGGGCGAGACACCGTTCACGTTGTCCGCCTATGAAACGGACGCGGAAGGCCGTCCGGTGGACCAGTCGAACAGCACGGTGCTGCCATACTACGTCCGGCTCGGGTGTTACAAGAGGGAAATAGTGGAGGGCRGGTTCGCATTGACCACGAACGGAAGCCTTTACCGTATCAGCAACGGCCAGCTCGTACCGGATACCGGGTACTGCGTGGAGTATTATGCCGCGGCCGGGCCRCCTGTGCCMGCTAGCTTGCAGGCATTTGTGTGTATATCGGACGTCCAACCACCGACCACGGCCGTGGACACACGTGGTAGCTGGAAGTACTTCGTCACCTTGGCTGGTTTTGTGCCGTCTGTCCTGTGCCTGGCGCTCACACTGCTCGTGTACTCCACGCTGTCCAGCCTCCGGAACGTCCACGGCTATTACGTAATGTGCTACGTGGCCTGCCTGCTCTTGTCTTTCGTCTGCCTAATGACACTCCAGTGGACGCAGGACGCTATCAATGGCCAGCCGTGCATTCTATTTGGTATGTCTTACCTACATTATTATCAAGTTTTGATTAATTAACAAGTCTAAAATAAATATCTATCATTAGGCATTACTATTGTATACCTTCACTAAAATTATAGTTCCWGACTATTTTTTCTCTTTCTAATAACACATTACACATGGTATGCCAGCAACATCAGTTTTATAAAAAAATTTTACAATACCAACATGATCACTTATAAGATTTCTATTTAAAATCATTTTTAAATAATCAGGAAACATTTATGCAAATTAATTTTGAAAAGAAGTTTGATACAATATACCACACACTTATAATTTTGAAATTTGAAAAAATATGCTTTGCTTTTTTCCTAATAAATTTTATTTCAGATTTTATTATTTCTGTCATTCAAGGTGTTACCCGAAGTGACCACTTCTCAAAATACTTTTTTAATTTATTAATTATTAATAATATTTGCTGATGATACAGCATTTTTAAAATCGAGGAATAGCAAAAAACACAATTATCTAACAAACAAATTTAGATGATGACAATATTTAACAACAGGTGTGATGCTAATAGTCATTAACTTAAATAAATTTCATTCTATTTATATTTGAAAAAACACCTAATATTTAACTATTTAGTGTGAGTTTTCGTGCAGTTTATTGGCATTTAATTTTGGATTTTTATCAATGCAGTGCCATAAAAAGACATAATATTTTTGGCTCAACTTRGTGAAAACAATATAATTATTTTTGTTTTGTCTGAGCCGAAATTTTACAATTTAACTCATCGAACACCTCAAAAACCAACCAAATACTCAACTGGACTTTTTCACGCAGCTAGCGTAAAATAATCTTAAAAAAATTTAAAAACACATAAAATGAATTTGTATTGCGTATTATATTTAGATGAGTATGTTGAAAGTATCGTCTAAGACTAAAAAGTCATCAGCATCCATTATAATAATTATATGTCACGTCCTAGTTCTACACCTATTTTATATTGTAATACCATTAATACMGGTCGGTCCTCGCGTGCAAATATGTATTAAAATATTACGATGTGCCAGAAAAAACCAATGGGGTAGRAAGTACTAATTTTATTAAGAGTATAATTATTTTAATGCTTACTTGGGGTTGACACGTCAAATATT